TTCACCGGGCCCATTTCACGAAGCAGTGACAAAAACGTCAAAGGAACATTGGAACATTCATGCTGTTCAAACGTGAGCTCGCAAAACAAGGAGGCATGTTCCGATATTGGATGCCTGAATGTTTTGATGACGTCACAGGCGTTAATTTCACATACCAGAACATTACTGAGAGTAAACGAAGACGACTGTGGCTGATTATGGATATGGCGGGTGCATAGTCGACAGTAAATCGATATAAAACTTCTGTATCTCTAAAAAAAAACCGTCAAGATTACATAAAACCGGCTAAAAGTCCCGCCGCCCGCAAAACAATAATTTATCCCGCTAAACAGAACCAAAAACCGCTAAGTTTAGCGGGAAAACCGCTAAATTGGCAACACAGGCGACCTACTCGCTGTTGCCACCGCTTGCCTACGCTTCTTTTCTCCGGCGAGAGACGGCGCCACAAGCGTTCGCCGTGTGCGCGCCACGTGCGCGCGCTAGCTGGGAAGTCCGGACCACGGCACCACAAGCCAGAGCTGGCAGTAATGCAATTACTGTAATGAAATTACAGTAATTTAATTACTTGTTCCTGTAATTAGTAATGTAATTCATTACTTTTTGTAGCAGGTAATTTTGTAATGTAATGAATTACTCCAGCGACGGTAATTGTAATTAAATTACCTAATTACTTTTTCGCACCAGGCATATTTTTTGTGTCCACAATGCACAAGAGCGCTTTGCTTTTTATTTCACTTTTTCTTTTTCCTCTACACCTTTGCAAAAACGCTCTTTGGCCGCCGCTATGTTGCTGATGCTAATGCGGCTGGTGCGACTCTCGCGCCCGCTATCAGCTAGACATTTTCTGCCACTCTCTTGAACTGTGAAAACCCGCTCAAAGCGATTCTCTACCTATGTTTTGCGGTTTTGCATTCGACGTTTTCTGAGCCCTCTTGAAAGTTTCCGCTTACTTTTTCTGATGCATACTGCGTACCCTCTCTGTGTTATCCTCCACTGTGAGAAATAGGGCTGGTAAGTGCCTTCCATTCGAGCTTTTCTGCTCGACATTCTCGGGAAACGAAGGAGGGGAAGTAGGTCGAACTAAGGCCCCTGGTGGAAGGACCCTCGACGCGATTTTGCGAACAATGACAATTGTTCTCCCCCCTCCCAAAGATAATCCGCGTAGGGTCCTCAGTCATCTCCAAAAATAGTTGTCCGGGTTGGGGTGGGAGACGGATCAGTCACGTGCGTTCCTCTGTCCATCGGTAAACATGCAACAGAGAGTTCTAGCTGTGTGCCATGAACTGTATAAATAATGTAAATAAAGTTATCTGTAAAAGGAAGTTATCAATAGCTCCTTTATATTTAAAAGTATACAAAAGTAATGCGAAAGTAATGTCATTACTTTTAAAAGTAATTTGTAATGGTAATTAATTACTTTCTGGCTGAGGTAATTTGTAATGTAATTTAATTACATTTCAGCAATTTTCAGCAAAATAATTAGTAATGTAATTTAATTACAAAATATGAGTAATTTGGCCAGCTCTGCCACAAGCGTTCGCGAGGAGCCTCGCGTTTGCTTGCTTTGTCAGGGAGGAGATGGCGCCACAAACGAAAAGCGCAAGGGCGCGGACTTGTGATTGTCCGTGCCCTTGCGCTGTTTTAATTTTTAAAGGGCAACTCCGGCCAAGACTCAAAATGAAATAAATTACTGGTATCACTGTAGTGACACAAAATACGACCCTAGCCAAAATATTACGTCCGTAGGACGCCGCATTCTCAACTAATGCCGATAACGAAAATGCGACCCGCCGCGAGCCGCTGCTCCTTAGCGGGTGGCCAGAGGGTTGCCGATCGCTAAAGCAACATTGGGCCGTGACGTCCGTATCGTTCTCTTTTTTTCCTCGGGTGCGGGCGTTGCGCGGAGTGCGCTTCTTTGAGCCGCTACCACCGCTACTTCGGCTTGTGATTGGCGTGTTTAGCCGTTGCTTTCATCTGTAGCCCGTATAGCTTTGGCATATCCTTTTGTTTATTTGCTTGTGAAGACTTTAAGACTTGTTTTAGCGAGCAACTCAGTGCGCCCAAGACTGCCCAGCTGTTCCTCGAAAGACGCCGAGTGCAACTTGTAGCGGTGTGGGCTGCTCTAACAACCCGCTGCGCAACACGGAGGTGCTTTTTCACAAGTGTCCGACGGACCGGAAATTGGAGAAGGTGTGGGTGAACGTTGTTCGACGAGTGGACTTTGGACTTCGGCTTTTACGCGCCCGAGGAAAAAAGAAGAAAAAACAGTCGTGTACAGCCCAGCACACGTGCGTTCGGGCGCCGCGGCCCGCGCCGGAGAGCCTCGAACCTTCGTGTCTGGGACTGACCCGCAGCGCTGAAGCGAGAGGGTCCCCAGTACTGTACGTCATTGGCAGCGCGGCGTAAAGCAACGCCGCTCCATCCACGGAGCCCAGATGACAATTTAGGCCTAGCGACGAGTACGGAAGACCACACACACGGCGACAGCCGCCGAGTACGGCACCGAACGAGTTCATTTGTTTTCTTGACTAAGTGGAACTAAATGGAGCCCATCAAAGCACACTGCTCATTTGTTTTCAAGTCGCTAGCTTTTGGGTATACAAGCGACGAGTACGGCATAGCGCACGCACGGCGGTGCCCGCCAAGTACGGCACCGTACGAGTTCACGGGTTTTCTTGTCGCTAGCTTTTGGGTATACGCACGAACTCTTGCTACATATGCTCGATAACTACCACATATACAATATTAAAACAAAATCAGCTTACCTCCTATCTTTAGACGGCTAGCGCAACAGAAGTAGCTGCTGCTCAACCTGCGTACTCGTTGAACGAGAACGATCTTGACATCACGTTCACATAGCGGCTGATTTCCAGTGTTGGAGGGGCCTCGAGCGGCTAGTTTCGTTTTTGTTGGCCGCGCCCCAAACTAAACTTTCAGGCGTCGATATTTTTAAAACTACGCACAATAACGAGAAAAAAATTACACCTTGCAATTCAGGGACGCTCACTGCACTAAAAACAGTCATAATCCCAAAATCGAAAGTATGGACCGGAGTTGCCCTTTAAAGTGTTGAACAAAGCGATCCAGCAGCGTCCTAAAAGCGCCGGACACGAAATAAAAGGGGAAATATGCGCGCGAACCTCGGGATTTCTTGTCTTTCTTTTTTCTATTGGTTTTTGGGGAAAGAGAACAGAAAGATACGGCGGTGACATTCGGACTATTTTATAACTCGCGCAACCTGCCGCCATGTCCCTTTATCTAGAGCTCTGTCTGTCTGCCTTTTCGGGGTGGCGAGTTCGGGTTAAAACTACCCGATTAATCGCCACCCTTTAATCGATTAATCGGAGCCCTTCATTTCCATGCAAATTAAATAATAAAAAATCAAAATTACTTTTTTTTTTTCTTTTTTTGTTTGTTGAATATGTACTAAAGAGCTGAAATGCATTCTTTTATTTTTTTATGAATTAACATAGATGTGCAGTTAAGATGATTTTCAAAGGCACTCACACTCACATATTATTACTTCAGCCGCATGGGACAGTTCGCTGATATTCTCCGGCAAGAGCGACCTCCTTTGGTTGTTTAAAGTAGCCTCTGCTGCGCTAAACGACACTCGAACGGTGTTTAAGTAACGGGGGCACGTGTAACCTTGTGCAATTGTCAGGAGTTGCAAATCTTGCACCTATAGTTTACTTTATACAGATGTACTCGTCCACGTCTTTGCGGGGAAAGCGTGCAATTTTTACTTTCTTTTGGTTCGTCAAAATTTTACCGATTAACCGGTTTAATAAATTAATCGCGATTAAAGCATTCATCGATTAATCGGTAGGTTAACCGATCAGTTACCTAGCTCTAGAAAAGACAGCGCTATACAGTGTTTAACTGAACTTGTCTGTTTTATTACTCATATTTCTTTGTTTGTGTGTTTGTTTTTCTTTGTTTTTTTTTTCTGGTTTCACCGACCGTCTTCACCCGTCACGAAGTTTGGCTACAAATTGTTCTTTTAAAGGCTCATCTCTAAATCGTTCCCCACCGCCGCACGGGCGCGCCGCTCACTTTAAAATAAAGTGTTTTTTGTTTACTTGTACGTGCGGTACTTTCCTCTTTTTTTTTTTTCGTACACGTTGGACAAGTAAATGTAAATATTGACGTTCGTGCCTTTATTTTGGCAAGAATGTCACCAGGAACTGAAGACGTAGAAAAGGGTTTAAAATAATATAATACATTTTATTTACAAAGTTCTGTGTTATGCATTGAATTTCGCGAAGTCAAAGAAACCATGGAAAAGTACGTTGATAAGAATCTCCATTCTGGTTGATTGTAATGCTGCACAAAATCAACGAGGGAAGGAATTAAGCTTGGGGCACAAACCACGCGAAAGCTGGCATAACGGTATACGAATGAATGAAACAATCAATATTAATAAATTAACAACTCTGATCTAAACAAAAATTAAGTTAAGCGAATAGAAGATTTAGGTTTTACTGTAAAGATGAAGCAATAATAATTTTAAGAAAATTCGCAAACTATACACAAAAAACATCAACCGCAAAAAACAAAACAAAAAAAAAAAAAAAAAAACGCTTCGCGATTGAACGTTAGTAGAGACCGGGTTCTCACCTGCGCTAACGCAAGCACGATAATCGAGTCCTCGGTGCAAACCATGCCTGGGCATGGTTTTCACCGAGGACGTCAACCATGTTAGTCGCAGCGAAACATACACCCAGGCATGACTACTCCATGACCGATCCAGCGTTAGCGGAGGTGCGAACACGGTCTACGAAAACTCTAATATCGCGAGCTGATTGGCCGCTTCTTTAAAGTTGTTTGTTTTGAAGGCCTTTGGAATGCCCGTCTGAGAGGGGTAGACCGGTCGTCGGCGTTGACCTGGCGCTGGCGATATCTGGAAGGTTTAAAATAAATGTGTAAATTTCCGTGCATTCAAACACATGAACAATTGCATGGGTTTTGGTAAAAATGTCGGCAACCGGCTTTATCTGCTAGTTCTCCCTACCTTTGCTTTGGGGGTACTGCCTTGCGATGGTTTCGAGGAGCCGCAGGAAGGTGTCTTTGCACTTCGTGGGACCGTTGATGGATCGCCACCAGCACCAGTCCAGGTAGGTCTGCACCATGCGGTCTGCCTCCGCTCGTCCTCTCGGTGTGTTGGCACTCGGGCCGCTCCACCCCTTCATGATGCGGACGAGCAGCGCCTTGGCGAGTCCCCACGCAGACTCGATATTTTGAGTGTGGGCCACGTTCCTGGAATTCACGAACTGACGGCTGTGGTTGACGGTCAGGTGGGTATAGTCCAGGGAAACTCCAGCCGCGTCCCGGAGCGCGGGAATCCTCCTGTAAGTTTCCCACTCGTCCGTGGTTATCGTGGTCCCGGGCGCCACGTGCCGTTGGATTTCGCGACACAGGGTCAGGGTGTCCCGTCTGCGTACACTGACCATCTGGAGTTCGCCGCTCTGCACGTCGATCATCCCAAACACCCAGGTCCCGCAGACCTTCCCGTTGAAATTATTTCGGCGGAAACCGTACCCGTCCGCTCCCAGCATCCGGCCCACGTTCCCCTTTCTTTTTCCCCGAAATAGCGCCTCGTCCGCTTGCACGTTTTTACCGGGTCCTTCCAGTAGGGGCAGAGTCTCCCGTTCCTTGGCACAGCACTCGCGTGTATAGCAGAACCAATCTCCCTGCATATGCGCGTTCATGGGGAAATGTCTGTTAAAATCGTGCCTCGTTTCACGCGTGGAGTGCCCGCGGCACTTAAAGTAGAGCAGGGCCAAAACCTCGGCCCGGCCCACCTTGACGTTCGGTCTTCCCAGTACATCGATGAGCCCAGAGAAGGAGCCCTTGGCCCCATGCTTCAGCTCCGACCGCTTACGAGCACATTTACCACATCTCATCTGATTCCAAATGCCTTTCTTGGCCTTGAGCTTCTGTTTTGTAACGGTTCCGGGGCACTGCGGTTTGTCGCGGTTAAATCGAAGGTCCCTGCATACGCCGACCACCACCCCGATCCTAGGCGGCACAGTTGGGGGCGCCAAGCCATAGTTCATGCAGAACTGATCCAGGTGTTCTTCGTCCTGAATTAATCTAGCGATCCCCGAGACGTCAGGGTCAACCCGTACTGCTGCAGCCATGATGTGGCCGAACCTAAAAAGAGGTTGAACAAATATTAATATTTTGTTCATGGAGCGTTTAGTCAGGCATAATTACGATTACTATCAAAGGGACACTGATCGAAGTCAATTCTGAGATCGTCCTTTTGTGGTGACAACTCAGTCTAGACGCTCTGAGCATCCCAACAGACCAGAAATTACAATCGTGCGTAGCTTATTTCCTGGTTTTTAAAACCGCAGTCAAAGAACGCGACACGCCCCCTTGGGAAGAATTTTCCGAGTGAACTGGTCGACGAAGGGCGCTTGTCGGCGAGTTGCAAGCGATGGCTTCGCCCGGCGGTAAAAAAGAGGAGTCTTATTCGAATGTGTACCTATCAGACTCTCTTCGAAACGAGTTTTAATAAAAATATTTCCGAATCTGCGCGTATTGTAGGGCTTTGATTGGTCCACATAATCTATAGTCCGCGAGTGAAAAGAGTCCACATGTTTACCTCTTGCCTCAAGATGAATAGGCAGTTTTGTAATATAGGACTTGGTATATGCGGGAACTAATACACTCTAAAAAAAGAAAAAAAAAAGGTGTAGCCTTACACCTCTTGACCCATTTACGGCGCCCCAAAACTTCAGTTGGACGTACAGCGCGCTGACGTCGAACTGACTGCCAGAACTTTTGCAAGAGGGTTGATGAAACTACCGGCTCCGAGGCGAGAGCGTCGGCCTACGGATCCCCATGTGGCGGGTTCGAATCCCGGCCGAGGTGCCCGCAATCTGACGGAGGCTTATTGCGGAGAAGACGCCGTGTAACCGAGCTTTCGGTTGCACGTCAAAAGATCCCCAGGTGGTCAAAATTAATCCTCAGTCCTCCGCTGAGGCGTGCCAGATGCCCGCCGTTGGTTTGACACGTAAAACCCCCAAATTTGACTTTTGATGAAACTACCGGAAACTACCGACCTATATCTCTCATTAACACGTGCTCTAAGCTTCTCGAACATATTGTTTCAAAGCATCTTTTAACGTTCCTCAACGATCACGATATTTTGTTTCAATATCAACATGGATTTCGTAAATGTCTTTCCACAACGACCCAACTCATCGAAACCGTGCACGATCTTTCCCAATCTATAAATAACCGTGGCCAAACGGACGTCATATTTTTAGATTTTGCAAAAGCATTCGATAAAGTGTCTCATCCTAAATTGTTGCTTAAAATTAACGCCTTGTTTAAGAACCCCATCATTACAAACTGGTTTTGCTCGTATCTTTCATCGAGAGTTCAATTCGTTGAGTTGGGAGGCTGTGTGTCTAGACCCGCTCCAGTTGCTTCTGGAGTTCCACAAGGTAGTGTGCTAGGACCGCTTTTATTTTTAATATTTATAGACGACATACGCTGTGGAATATCAGTTCCAATTAAGCTGTTTGCGGATGATTGTATTTTGTACAATAAAATAGAAACTGAACAAGATCAACTAAAACTGCAAAATGAACTCCTCAATATCAAACATTGGTGCGACGAGTGGCAAATGGTGTTAAACCCTCGAAAATCAGTCGTTATGTCTATAACAAGAAAAAAACATATCCTAAATTATGATTACCTTATAGATGACACCAACCTACCTCGTGTAGACGAAAATAAGTACTTAGGAGTTACCTTTACAAGCGACTTAAGATGTAATACACACACGGAAAAAGTGTCCAGAAAAGCTAACCAGGCACTATGGTACCTCAGAAGAAATCTTGCAAGTGCTTCGCCAGAAATTAAAACATTAGCTTATAAAACACTGGTGAGACCTATCCTTGAATACGCAAAAGTAGTGTGGGATCCATGTACAATAGCTAACTCGTCGAAACTTGATAAAGTCCAGCGGCTTGCTTCCAGGTTTATCTTTAATAAATATAATCGTAACCATTCCCCCACTGAACTCTGTAGACTTGCTGAACTTCCTTCTCTTGAATTAAGAACAAAGTGCGACCGCCTGAAATTTATTTTTTTGATCATTCATGGTCTAGTTAAGATAGACAAAAATAATTACATGGACGTACGCGTCAGTGAATGTACGAGACATCGTCATAGCATGCACACCAGGGAACCATCTGTCAAAAATGATTGTTTTAAATTTAGTTTCTTTCCTAGGGAAATAAAGGAATGGAACCAACTCCCGAATTCCGTCGTCACTATGACAAATGTCTGTGATTTTGTTAAAAATATAAAGAGTATAGTGCTTGATAATGTGCCGTGACTTTGTGTTTTGAATGTATTTCTTTTGCTTTTTTATACCTCCGGGTGAATCACTTTTTTGAAGTGTCAGTGCATGATTGTTCTTTTACTTCTTGTATGTATTACCACTCCTGTAAAGGCCTTGTAAAGGGCCGACAGTATCAATAAATAAATAAAATAATAAATAAATGACGATGCGATATGACATATTAAAGTGCTAAAGTACGTATCAAAGTCTACAGGAAAAACACACAGGTTTTGCAGTTGGGCCTAGAAAACACCGATAACTTTTTTTTTTGCAGTCAGTCAGACTTACATTAACTATTTTAATGAGTTGTACAACTCGGTATCAAGCCGCTCTTGAAATTTGGTAGCGTCGGTACAACGTCAGTGCGCTGTACATCCAACTGAAGTTTTAGGGTGTCGTATATGTGACAAGGGGTGTAACGTCTACTCCCCCTTTTTTAGAGTGTACATTTTAAACAATATAAGATCAAAAACGACCTTTTTCAACAATGACTTTAGTGCGCCTTTAACGTGTAAGTATAGAAGATACACCCGTGTTCCTAGAAGTTCAAAAGATGAAAGGATCACGACATGTCACAAGCTACAATATCAAACACTACGATGTCTTCAAATGCAAATTAGTATTACATAATATGAGGTATAATAACGGTATAAAACCACCCGATCTCAATGTGCGCATGTGCACGGTTCATTATGTCAACAACATGAATCAGCTCGCGAGCATCGCTTCTTCAATGTATGTATAAAACAAACATGAGAATCTCAAAACGTTTTACAATCCGTGTGCACATCGAGGGACTACAGCTACGGTCATATCATGCGAAAGTGTAAGGCTACATAGACTCTAAGGACGTGTCGGCGCGCCTACTCTCCCGTCTAATTATTTTAGCTAGAAATAATTTTTTTCGAACTTCATAAATTTGTAGACTTGGTCATCCATTCACGGTCACTTACTAATGTACGACCTAAGTGACTTTATATAATAGGCACAGCACCATCCTGTGGGTGGACTGCAGACGTTTGACGTTATGTTTCGTTTGCCCATGTCTCTTTTCCAGCGTATACGTACTAGACACGTCACATCGTGTCTATGCGTTGGTTCGATACAGGCGTTCTCGGCGTCTTCTGTAAAAATGGGCTTTATCATTAAGCATCTGTGTGCGAAAGGCTCCAACAGCAAGAAGCTTGAGAATGTTGAAAATTACCCGAGTAAAAGATTAGAAACTTCATGGAACTTTAAGACGTCCTTCTTCTTGTGTGTGTCCTTTTTCTTCCACGGTGTTTACCATCTTTTACCACAGTCTCGGGTAATTTTCGATATGATCATCATCCTCCAGCTCGCCTGCACACTCACCGTTTTTTTTTCTTTTGTTAAGATTGAGAAGTTGGTTGTGTACCATAACTCAGAGCAATTTGCAATATCTTCAACTGTGCGTCCACCGCGACATCGTAAGCATCGATTGTTTAGCACACCTGACAGGAGGTATTAAACGTCTTCCCATCCGTCACACCGTCGCATGTTCTGTAATATAAATCAAGGCATAAAACACATTGTTAACGTTAAAAAACTCTAGCGGGGGAAACGTATTGACGCATGTTCGAAACGCGAGCCAAATATTCCATTTTTCGCGCCTGGAGCGCTGCTCAAAACTTGAGAGCTACGGGCCTATACCGGGTGTTTCAGCGAAAGCTTTAGCAAATTGTTAACGACAGGGTTCATTGTAATAAAACCCGACACTCAGGAACACCGAAGGGGACGAACACAACGCAACGTCGTTGTGTTCGTTGTGTTGTTTTGCCTGAGTCCATGGGTTTTATTAGCATGATTCGCTACCAGCTAGCTTGTTTTTGTGTTTTTTAATATTGTAGCGAAAGAGTCGTTAACCAAAAAAAAAAAAAGAAGCCATTTCTTAAAATTAACTATTGCCTCGGTTGCTGAAAGATGCACGCAGCAATGCCGGCGTTCTTCCCGTTCGCCCACTCACAATCAAATTGCTAAACCCCATGTTATCAATAAGATATCTTCTATTCATTCTATTTTGTTTACTAACATTAGAACCCTAATCCCAAAGATCGATGATGTGAATTCCTTAATTCAAACATGTTACGCCGATTTTGT